GTTTGTCTCAAATAACCTATTGTGTGRGCTCAACTCTTTCTATGGCCTTCCTGATGGAATCAACTAATCACCAATACTAAGCATAGTCATAAAAGATTTTACCTTTAGATCTTAGACATATTTTAACCAGAGTAGAAGATCAGATACAGCCCAAGATRATTTTTTGTGATAAACCTGTCAGTTATGGAAGAATTGAGCACCATCTTGTACACTTTCTTATTTTTCAGATTGCCCTCAATGTGCACTTCTTAGTGAAATCTTCCCAGAGGCCACATTAGAGTTCTCTCTTTTTCCCTGCCTCAGTTTACAYCTCCAGTGGAGGTGGAGGCTCCTTCCAAGAAATACCTTCCAAGACAGTTSCTGAGCTGCTTGGGCTCAGGCTCATTTAGTTGTGTGTCTAACTGGATCCCTTACTGAGTTGGAAGTTCCTTAAGGCATCTTGATGGAGTTGAAAGAGAATGTCAGGTACTTAGAGTCCAGGGACATGGATGGACACTTCAACATTGTTCTGTCTGTGTCATCTAGTCCCAGARGCCATGGAAGGTTCTGACCTGAATGCTTCCCTCTGATTTACTTTCTAATAAGCCACTCTCCCCAGATTATAAGCTCTGTTCTCTCAGGARTCTGAACATCCAAACACCTTCAGGGCCAGGGTGTTAGAAACACTGTGGGAAGTCATGGGATGTTAGCATCAAGGCGATGGCCAAAACCCAGGTTAACTAGGCTTGCCTGGGTGCTTAAATTCACTTTCTTTAAGGTGAAACTGAGTTGAGGTCTAGMGAGCCTGCTTTATATCACCTGATTCCTGGTTTTCATGTGATAGTATTTCCAAGGTAAGTTTAGCAGAAAGAATAGTGGTGATATTCAAAATCATTAATAACAGGAATAGCCTAGGAATCACAATTCTTTCATAGGACTAGGCATCACCCTGCAGCCTATTTAGGTTTTAACCRTTTAGTTCCCAGATCAAGGGAAAATCCAGAGGATCCCAATGGAAGGTCCAGAGGTGCTGGTATATTCCAACTGCATGTTAGCTTTGAGAAAGACCTCTGGGCTTTAACCCCGATTTGCMACTTTCTACCAGTTAGATCAAGTTGCATAGTCTCTCTGAGCCTTAGTTTCCTCATCTGTGAAATGGGTTAATTCCCACTTTGCAGGACTGTGGTGAAGATTACATGAACCAAAATAGGTATATTGTTCAAAGAGTACCTGGCACAAACAGATGCCCAGTCAAAGAAAGTAAAAGCAAGGCCTATTGTTTACTATTATTAAAAAAAATATTAAGTAACTAGTAGAGTAACCCTCTAACACAGAAAGAGGAAATCCAGCAYATACAATTGGCTTGGGGGAACCTGTGGAATAGAGAAGGAGGCTGATCTTAACTGAGCTACAAATGGTGGTCGGGACAAGTTGAAGATTGAAGAGGAAGATGGAGTGCTCATAAAGGGCATTGCCCGTCTGACCCAGCAGTCACAGGTTGTGGGGTTCAGAGTGTGCCTGGAACAGCATGACTGGAACAGTGCAGAGAGGATTATGCTAGGGTGATTCAGCCTGGGAACACCAAGGGCAGAGAGCCCTCTTTGGTGGCCCAAATGAGCAGCTGGGAAGAGACCAGAGACTTGACAGACAGGTATGTCTGCACTCCCAGTCTGATCCTGGGCAATTCAYATCCATGACAGGGAAATATGTGAGACCTGCAGTGGGTTAGATCCCCCACCTAGAACTAGAATTTTCAGAAGGTCCTGAGACCTTGACATTTAGCAGGGATGGGCATCTGCCCAGCAAAAAGAAATGTGGATCTAATCTCAAATACCTTCCMAGAAAGTTCCAAAATACAGTCACAACTAAACATCAGCTGCTGAAATTTTCCATTTAGAAACTCTACATCAGCCCTGCTCTGGGAGCGTATCCTATAGGTGAGGTGGGAAGCTGGGAGCTACTRCAACGGGTTTTAGCTCCAGGCCACAACAGCTGGCAGCTTGGTGAGAAACACAAATAAATCAGATTTAACAACCTGTAGTCTCAATCAAAGGGTTACAGGATCCAAAAAGAAATGCAAAAATGGCACAACAGCATTAGCAGTGAACAAACATCTTTGCCAACAGTTTTAGCCAACTCAATGAAAACAAGCCCTTTATTCCTCATTAAGAATTTTTCCCGTACAAGTGGAAGAAATGATTTACAGTAGAAGGGGTAGAGAGAGAAAAGGGGAGGGGAGGGGAGGGGAGGGGGGATAGGAAGGGTAGCAGAATACAATAGACACTAGTATGGCTGTAAGTATAAACGTGGCTATAAAACCAATGTGATCCTGCAATCTGTACATGTGGAAAAATAAGAATTCACACCCCATTTGAATCAAATGTATGATATGTCAAGATCATTGTAATGTTTTGAGCAACTAATAAAAGAATTTTTTAAAAAAGAGGAATAACAATCTGTCTTGCTTAGGTCTTGTATTAAGTGAGCAAATATTTTCGAAACAATTAATGTCTGGAGTAAACATTAAATAAATGCTTGCTATTATTAAYTTTACAAAAAGAAATAAGTGAGAACAAAGACACAACATATCAAATTCTCTGGGACAGCATGAAGGCATTACCAAGAGGAAAGTTTATAAAACTGAACGCTTACAGATAAAAAAAAAAAATCCCAAATAAGTTATCTAATGAAAACATCAAGGACCTAGAAAAAGAAGGACTAATTTATACTAAAATCAGTAGAAGACAGGAAACAATTAAGATCAGAGCCAAAATTAGTAAAATTGAGAATAAAAAACATTGTGAAGTTTAGTGCAACAAAGAGCTGGTTCTTTGAAAAGATAAATAAGATTGATAAACCCTTAGTGAAACTAATCAGAAGAAATAAAGAGAAAACAAATCAACAAAATTAGAGACAAAAAAGGAGATATCACCATGGACAYTTCTGAAATCCAGAGGATCATTAGAAATGATTTTGATGCTGAGCACACAATAGGACAAAGCAAGGTAAGCTAGTGATGTCACTGCTTCTGTAGCTTAACTTCTGTGAAACCCCTTTTCCTGTGATAACTGGTGTAAAACAATGGTATCACAATAACTATGGTGGGCCACAGRAGGTCTTGGGTTAGTGTGCTATCATGAAGGAGGGAGGCTGTAGGATTTAAAGGGTGGAAAGACTTTGTTCTTATGCCTGGACATATAAGAAAGATTTCCAGGTCTTTAGATTGCAGCATCCACAGGCCACTCCTTATTTATGGAAGCTTACTTTCTGACTTACAGACATTTTTAAAGATACAGGCGTTATTATGGAGAAGCTTAGCAACCAGTTATCCTTCTGAGAACCGGGAGCCGCAAACTTGAGCCTCTTATGCTATAAATAAGAGATGTGCTGCATATGCATTTTCCTGAATGAGTCTGTCTGCTTTTGAAATTCCCTTGCACTGTGCTGATCCATTCTTTAACCATTGTCTGGACATGCACTGGATCTCATGATATGAGATGAGTGGTCTCTATTGAGAAGGATCATCTGTGKATAGTCAGTCCTGTGGTTCAGAGAAAAATACGTCATCCACACTCTGGCAAAGTTTGACCACCCRCCTCTTTGCAGTACTACAATCTAATTAAAAATAACTTACATTTTGTCTGATTTTACAATTGCTCCCAACATTCACCATTCACTATAGCTTGGTATACTCAGCTATCTGCAAGGAAGCATCCTCATTGATGTGAGAGTCTCAAGACCTTGCCAAGTGTTTTCCTTCTGAGTCTCATATCGATTCGTTAACTGGTTAGCAAACTAATTTGGGAATGAATGTTTAAATAGGATGTTTCCCAAATTAACCTAAAGCAACAAATAAAACAATGCTCTTTTTTTCACCCTCTTACTTTGATGCCACAGAGAATCTCAAATATGCCTTAGAAAATGGTGGTTGGGTAAAGGAAGGAAAAAAACAAAAGTGGTTGAAATATGAAGCAGCAGCTTTTTTAATGCCACATCCAGATATCATAAATTTTCATTTATTAATTATGTTATTTTTCTTAGACATTTTATATGGTTTTAGAAATCCTTTTGAACTAACATTTACCATACCTAATAACATTCTAGACTGGGCTTRTGGGAATTGGCATTTTAGAATAATAAAATGAATTTGAAAGATTCCCAAAGTCTGGTCTGGAATCTGGAGTCTACTACTCACAGCAACAGCAAGAGAGATGTCTATTTAACTCCTGTTTTTTCCATTTTTTTCCCTTAGGGATTGAAGCCAACAATGATAAGATTCATTTTCCCAACATACTAACAGTTTTTTCTCCTTTCTTTAAGCTCCTCACTCCAAGAGTCTTCTCTGAAGATCATTTTAAGATTAACTCTTGTAAACTCTAAGCCCACTTTCCTTAACTCCCAAGGAAAGGCCTGGGATTTCAAGAAGGACCAGAGAGAAAAAAAAAAACATGGGATCCCCTATGGGGGGAAAGGGTCTGGCTATGGCACAGATCATCTGACACAAGCAGAGATTTGAGGCAACATATGGGGTCCAGTTTGACCTGGGGGCCCTTGCCTTGGTCTCTTACCTTGGTCTCTTACCTTGGCCAGTTTGACCTGGGGGCCCTTGCCTTGGTCTCTTACCTTGGTCTCTTACCTTGGTGATGCACTGGGCATTCAGACCAAAGGTGACCTGACCATGAGTCAAACTCTAGGATTACTTTGAGTGGATACTTCTCATGTCTGCCTACTGTATAACCACCCTCTCAAGACTGGGATAGGATGCAACCATCTTGTAGTGTTGGGCATGAGATGGTAGAGGAAATAACTTCCCATCAGCCCTTGCAAATGGTCATGGCAGCCCAAGGTACCTTTCATAGCTTATGCAACTTAGAACTGAACTGAATCCTAAAGGATGTATTTGTTAAGAGTGTGTCTCTAAGCAAAATGCTGGAATGTATTTTGTTCCTTGTTCATTTGCTGTCACCTGTGTCATTTACTCTGGATTTCTGATGTGTTTCTTTGTTTTCTGTGTGTTGCAGGCAGCATAGTGTACCTCGGGATGATGGTGGGGGCGTTCTTCTGGGGAGGACTGGCAGACAAAGTGGGAAGGAAACAGTCTCTTCTGATTTGCATGTCTGTCAACGGATTCTTTGCCTTCCTTTCTTCATTTGTCCAAGGTTATGGCTTCTTTCTCTTCTGTCGCTTACTTTCTGGATTCGGGTAAGGTTTTCACCTTCATATTTTATAGTAATGTGTTTATTTCATAATTGTATACATTCTTCATCCTAGAAGACCTCATTACCAATTGATTATTTCTTACCAACTCTCTTTCTCTGTGTTTGTGTCAGCCTGAGGAGTTACACTGCTGAGTTTTAGAGATATAATTGTCTCTGTCTGTCCACAGACTCACAGGTCAATCTGAGGGATAAGTGAAATATACCTATGTTCTCACAGCTGACACTTATATATATCAAACCTCCAGGAAATTGATATTGTTTAAATGGAAAGTTATTTCCATAACAGAGCATGTTCATATATGCATGTTTCTTCTGAAAATTTAATTTAAGCAAGAAATCCTTCTGCCAACTAAGAGCTAATTAAAGGTCCAAACTATTTAGGGATGATCTTAAATTCAGGATTAGAGTGTCACATATGACTGTAGTTTTATTGATATGCATTATCTGGGTGTCTGACTAAGTAGGAAGCCTGCTTCTTGAGGTGGAAGAGGCACTTTAGGTAAGTTCCTGACTCCTATAGGATTAACAGAAGTCGTGCTACTAGCCAAGTGCAGTGACATGGGAGAGCCAATGATGGAGCCATTTTCTTCAAAGAAAGCACTTATTACTACACTATGTGAATCCACAGGTTTGGGAAAACTCAATAGCTTGATTAGGAGAGTGTGAGAAATTCTACTTTATTAAGGAAAAATTTAGAGATATAAAATTTCTGATTCATAACTAAGAATTTAGAGACATTCTTTTCATTGATAGGCTTCTTTCTCTTCATTTAAATTTTTAGATGAAGAGAAGGAGACAGACTGGGCTATGAATCTGAGATGTTATTRGTTGCAGTTGTTGATGATACAATATCACAACCTATGCAGCAGAACACAATTTTGTGAAATAAGATAAGGGTATTCCAGGATGTCTTTCTTAATTACATATAGCAGTATTTCCTATAGCTCCTCACATGACAGGTACAATAACAAATATTTGACTGACTTGCACAATTTTCAGGAGCATTCCTTAAAGGGACAACACTGCACTACACCAAATTAAGATGGTTRCAGAATTAAAGAAAGTATATTTTTTCTTGGGAAAAAAAAATGATCAGAATCAATTATTTTCTTTGTGATGATGGGCAAAAGGGACTTGACCTCAGCAGAAGGAATCCTTGGTGTTAGTCTGTGTGAGATCGGCTGCATACACTGTTGTGATATGGGGTGGTATTTTAGTTCATGTATTCTCTGAGAAATTTTGATATCCACAAACTCAAAGTACCTGAAGGGTAAAATGGTTATGACAATTTTAATTGTCAATCTGTGTTGTAACATGGCCAACCCAATTGACTATAGAGACAAAGGGCCATTATGATAACTGCAAAATACTGCAAACCAATGGACTGTCCAGAAACTAATTCTGGAAGGAAGAGGAAACTATGTGGGCTTATTCACRATACCAGCCTTATCCCTATCATGAACAAATTATTCTCCAGTCAGCAGGTCAGGGCTGCTAACCTCTAACGAACAAAAAATTATCCTGAAAAGCACAATGTATTGCTAACACAGGTGGTCTCTATAAATTGTGATCTGAGAGGTGATAGCACTGTAGCAACTTCATGAAGTTGGCATAGGACTRGAATCAAGAAATTCACATCATTTAGGCTCTTCCTGGTGACTCCACACTTTCTTTTTTCTTTTGTGAAATGGAGATAACAGAACCTTACATTCCTACCGTGGAGTATAAGGATCAAATGAGATAATGTACTAAATAAAAGTAATGGTAAAGAAGAAAATGTGAGATAATGTTTTAGAATTCACCCATGATTTTTGGCATTTCCTGTTCCCTCTGAACTTGTTCTCTCATTCACTCAGCTAAGCTGCCCTGTGCTCATTGCCTCAGAGTGACAACAGGAAGGACGCAGAAAGGGGCCTCTTCCTGGCTTTGAATTCAAATCTGACCCATAAAGTAAAGTGAAATGATCAATCATGGACAAAAGATTTGGGAGAAAGTATGGCAAATAAAATCAAGCCTCCCTGCTCACCAGGACAGGTGACAATTTCCTAGGCCAGGGACAGGGCTGAGGGGAACATGATGTGAGTTTAGTTATCTTAGTAGAGGAATCAAAACATCTTGAGTTTTGTGTAACCCCGCAGCTGAGGGGACTTAAGAAATTAAACTAAAAGAAAAGAAGAAAGATATCTGTATTAGTCAGGGCTCTCTGGAGAGACAGATCCAATAGGCTAGCTAGCTAGATAATGGGGAATTTATTAGGGGGATTGGTTCATGAGATTGTAGAAGCAGAGAAATTCCACAGCAGGTTGTCTAGAGGTTGGAGACCTCTGGGTGTTATTAGCATGGCTCTGTCCAAGTCCAAAAGCCTCAGAACCAGGGAAGCCAATTGTGTCATTCGCAGTCCAAGGTCTGAGTACCTAGGAAGATGGGGATACTGATACCAATTCCAGAATTCAAAAGCCAGAGAAAAAAGATGTTCCAGCTCAAGAAGAGAGAGAGAGAGGAAAAAAAAATTCTCCTTTTCCTCTACCATTTTTTGTTATGCTCAGGTCCCCTGGCTAGTGCACGGTAACTGCCCAGATCAAGGGTAGATCTTCCCCACTCTGTCCACAGACTCACAGGCCAATCTTCTCTGGAAATACCCCATGAATACTCAGAATAATACTCCCCCAGCTATCCAGGTTTCCCTTAATCTGTTGGCAAGTTGTCAATCATGATATCTTTCCCCCTCATCTGAGTTTGTAGAGTACTGCCTCCACTGGCCCAGGGTACTTTTCAACATCAGTTTATCCGGGTACCCTGTCCTTGAATAGCTGTGAAGTCTCATCCAAATGAGACTCTGGGCAATCTCTTTTCTCTAGTCCCATCCAATTTAATTCAAACCTCATTTTAGCTCCTGCTCTACCTCCTGAAGCCATGCCAGGCCTTTCCTAGAAGAATCCTATTTCCTAGCTGAATCCTCTCCTCAAGCTGCGTGGTTGGTTATAGAAGGAAGCCCCCCAGTTAGCCCTCCCAGTCTCCACCCTCCAATCGTAGTACCTGAAGAGAGGTTTCAAGGGGCTTGGGAGGTTCCCAAAAGGAGAAAAAAAAATGACAACATTGTGAATGAGAAACCAAATTCCACCCAGAAGCGCTTCTTGTTTTCAAAGGCATGTAATGTTTAAATCATTCATTCTATTAATTATGAACTCAGTTACCTAAACAGCAGAAGTGTTGATAGATTTCCTTTTTATTTAAACATTCTTTATTAAAACGAGCCAGAGCATTAAGATTGTCATGGTGAAGACCTTAAATAAATACTCATGTTATAGCTGTATGGCTAAGCATCTCCTTTCATCCACCTCTGATCCAATGTTTAAATTGAGGAAAACTCAATTTAAAAATTGAGATGACCAGGGAATTAAGGTTTTACAAGGTCAGGAAAGTTTCTGTTGTGGGCCTCTGGCGCTCAGACCCTCTAAGCCACATGTCTTTCACAGGAGCACAGTACTAGCCCCTTTCCCATTTTGAAGGTTGTTCTCCCAGAGCCTTCACCCTACCCACCTGGGGGAGGTGTTTACCTGACAGCAACTCACAGTGGCTCTCACTGTAACTCCGTTTTGTCTTCTTGAAGATACTTAGTTTTTACTTTTATCTTTCTCTCCTCTACCAGCATGTAAATTCCAAAGGGCTTGGATTTGGACAATAGTCTTTTTCTATCCTGGCCCTTAGGATCAGTGGAGCATTGATTCCTAGACCTCTTGGATAATGTTCAAGACATCAGTGTATAATGCATGTAACCTGTGCACATTCTCCAGTATACTTTGTCATCTTTATATTATTTGTAATACCTAATACAATGTAAGTGCCATATAAATAGTTATAGTGTGTTGTTTAGGAAATAATGACCAAAAAAAAAAAAGTCTCTACATATCCCTATAGATGCAGGGTTTTTTTTCTGAATATTTTGGATCCATGGATAGTTCAATCCACAGACCCAAACCTCACAGATATGAAAGGCAGGTGAACTGCTTAGTTACTGAGGAAGGATGGGCATGTTACTTGCAGAGGCAAGACAGAAAACAGAAAAATCTGACCCTGCAGACCAGGGCTAGTTCATCTAGTGCTCCTAGAAGTGAAATAGGAAGCCTATTAATTAAATTCTTACTTGACCTGTATAAGCAGAAAATTTCCATGTCTAGTTAACAAAAACTTAAATTGAGTCATAAAAACAGAAAGTCATGTCCCCTAAATAAACTTCTAGACTACAGCCACTTCATAGACCCAGAACCTCTTGAACGAGGTACAGACCAGGTTCCCATGAGAAACAGTGCCACTACCCTGCCAAAAATGTGTTTTGTTGATATTTCTCCCAGCTTTCACCAGGAAGACTGAACTTGGGGGGAAAAAATCAGGCTTCTCATAACTTACTGGACATAGACTCTGAACTAGCACTAATTCCAAGAGATCCAAATGTCACTGTGGTCCACCAGACAGAGTAGGAGCTTTTGGAAATCAGTGGTCAATGGGGTTTTAGCTCAGATCTTTCTCACAGTGAGTCATTGAGTCATTGACTCCATCCTGTGCTTAATTCCACAGATCTGGAATGCATCATTTGAATAGATCCATTTAGCAGGTCGAGCTTGGTAGAGCTCCTACCCACCAGCTCCATGACCCATAAATTTTAGAACATGAAGAGAAATTCTAGGTCAAGCCCACAGCCTTCATTTTGCAGATTTAGAACCAGAAATGACTCAGCTAGGAGTTAAGTTGCATTTAAGTTCKTTTAACTCAGAACTCTACAATTAAGTAAATGGTACATTCTGACTCCGAGGATTGAATGTCTTTCTGCCAGTTTTGATGCAAATGTCACATGCAGTTGCTCTCTTCTGTAGCATTGTTAGCAGCACTATATCATGTTCCTTCAACACTGAAGGGGACTAGAAGTTATTGTTTCAGATAGATCTACCTGAGTTTATTATTTCATTGTCTCTAAATGTGCTTTCC